CTCAGGGTTTCATTTGGTTGATGTTTCCCTATCGATATTCCTCTCACGGTGAAATGTTTTTCTTTGCCATATATAAGGCCAATCTTATATCTTTCTGAAATCCAAAGATAGTACTATATAATTCTCTGTTTTGTAATTGCAACATTTCATTTGGAATTACTGCTTTGTTCTTGCATATAGTTTCTATGCTGGTCAACTTGTGCTCTGTTAGCAAATATAACATCAATTGGAAACTGGTTAACCTGTTGTCAAAAGTTTACATTCTTATTAGTTTGGGAGTTGGGAGCAACAAGTCTTTCACAACATCATTTGGTTTATTACTATATAAATAAAGATCTGAGTTCTGAGTTCCATGGTAATGTCTAAATTGAATTAATAATGTCTTCACATCTATAAGGGCATAATTTTTTTTGGACTGGGGATCAAACTCATAACTTGCACTTACCAGGCAGGTGCTTGAATCACTAAAATAAATCCTCAACCCCTGGGCATACTTTGAGCCGTCACATTTTTTTAATTTTAATTTTTTTACTTTACAGATAGTAAAATACAACAAACAAGGCAGAACAAAGCCAATCAAGACAATGCAGTGAAATTGGTACAGAACTTCAGAGACGAATACCGGGATAACAGCAATAGGTACCATAGTATATCTAATTATCTTCACAATAGTTGTCAATTCCATCAGATATAGCAAAATCAAACCAAAAGCAAACCATTATAAAACCAGTCAAAAAAGAATATTGAATAAAGCAAAACAGTGAATCAGAACAATGCAAAATAGTGAAAACAATATTGGACTTCAAAGACAAGACAGAAGGAAATCCCCTGTATTTGCTATACTGCATATGGTCATCTTCCCCAGAGATGCTCAGACTACTGGCCCCTGGCCTGCATAATCAACCAAACAATACAAACATTTAGTTGCTTTATGTACCTTAGTTGCTATCAACTAAGGCTGCCCTAGGAATCATCCAGTTGCTAATGAGTATTGGGGGATAGGTGGCAGGCAGGAAGGAATGGGAAACTTGATTCAGCCTTTGGGCCCACTCTCTAGGCTCGGAGGAGACCCTGACTTTTCTTTCCTTGGTGCGTACACAGTTCATGCTGCTTACCAGGAAGGATGGCTGGTTGATTTTTTAGTTGATCCCCCAAATTCCAGCATGGCAGATTCTTGGGAGATGCTGACTTTTCTCTCCCTGGTGTGCACGCAGCTCGTACCACTTAGCAGGAAGTCTCTCTGGTTGCTTTCTTGGTTAGTCCCCTGACCCATCACTTTTTAAACAAGGCTTTTACATTCCTGTGATCACCATGAGAAAACCCTGCTAAGTACAGCAGACCTATGAAAGCTTTCAGTTCAGCTAGAGAGATGCCATAATAAATACATAATAAATACATGGAATATGGCTTTTGGTGCATACAGAACATTTTACTTGCCTTTCAGTCTTTGTGTATTTCACAGTATTAGGATTTCTTCTATTACAATTTTCAAACTTGAATGGCAGTGCTGGCATTCTGTCCAATATTTTTCATTCCTGCTGAGACCCTCAATGTATTTTTAAACCTAGTTCTAGCATTGGATCATTCCATTTGGTTACATGATCATTCATAACAATTCAACTAGTCAAATATGTGCTTATATTGTTCTTTGTTTTGTCATCTAAATCATGGAGGTCTGCATTCCTTTTGTCTGTGTCAGTCAATTCTTGTTCCATTTCACTGTCACAGGAATTTTGCCTCACATGCGCAATGCCAAAATCATCATCATCATCATCCATACCATTTTTCTGCTATAAAAGCATGTATTTTACCATAATAGATCATCATCATCCACACGTTAGTAATCTAATGCTTCATTTTTGGAGGGGTCCTTTTAGGACAAGATCTCTCTATGTGGCACAGGCTGGCCTTGAAGTTGCTTATGTAGCCCAGGCCACAGATTAATCAGATGAAGTTCCTTGGTCTGCACATAGGGAAGGCCAACACCCCTATTTAGTAGCCACAGAAGACAGGGCTTCTTCTAACACTCCTTAAGGATTCCTGGGGATTAGGACTCTTAGGGAGTAATGGTGCAGTTAGAAACAATGGACCTGAGATAGTCATTGTCTTCCTCCCATTTAACTCTAATCAGTACTCTACAGTCATTTCTCCTTCCATAGCCCTAAAAGAGGTAGAAAATAAAATAACAAAACCCCAGGAGATCTCTGATGGTCTGGGCCAGAGCACATGCCTGTTGGATATCCTAGCCTGACCTGCTCCCACCTCATTAAGTGTTCATAGATATGTATGGTATGTTATAAATATAATTAAAATTAATGGGAATTCTGGGGCTAAAAAGGTTGAGAACCCCTGATGTAGCATGGTATTCTGTCAGTCACTCCTGTCAATCACATATGGAGATCCAGCGGGAGGCAGCTGGGCTGAAGTACAAATCCTTCAAATTCTGAAAGCTTGTTTTATCCATGAACTATTGCTGTGTTTGTGTGCAGACACCTGGGTGCCATGCTTCTACTTCTCTATCACCCTGACACCTTTTATCTGTCTGTGCCTCATCTTTTGTCAGCAAACTTGCCTTGGGTGCAATGTCCGGTGATCTTCACTAAATGTAGCTGCTTGGTACTTGCTGCTAGGTGGACACTTGGAAATTCTTTCCTTCTAATACACAAAAACTCGCACTCTTCTCTGTCCCTTCCATGCTAACACCTCCATTCTGAACATCCTACCATCTTCTTGCTTATATAATTTGAAAAGTTATACTACTTTTTCATTTTAATAATGTGACATTTGTTTTTCTCTCTAAATTAAAGCTGAATAGGGAACTCAGTATATCATTGTCCTGTTCCATGTCTTACAACAAGATTAGTTTACAAAAGGGATTAACATTCACAAAGATTAGCACACAGAATTTATTTATTGAATGAATGACTAAAATGTTTGAAGTGGTTAAAGTCTACTCATTCAGAAAGTACCATGCTAAAGAGAAGAGAGTTTAAAAGAAAAACCTGGATAGTTTGGAAAAGATAGGGGTATATCAATCCACTTTCCTGGGATAGCACAGTCAGCTGGAGTGAAATGTCTGACAGTCACTATCAAAAGAAAGATTCATTGTGGCTCACATTTCAGAGGTATAGTCCATGGCCCATGTAGGAACATCATTGAGGAAAAGCACGGTGCAGCAAAACTGCTCACTTCATGGTGGCCAGGAAGTAGAACACAGGGAAAGAAAGCTGCCAAGAAATATATCCTCCAGAAGAATGCCCCCAGCATCCCACCTCCAATGGGCCACGTCTTCTAATTGCACACAAAGCTATGCACACCTGTGGATTAAGGTGACGATAAGGATAGTGCCCCTGTGATCTAGTCCCATATCCACGAGTCTCAGTGCAGTCAATTGACAACTAAGCTAACTGGCACTGAGTTGCATTGCTGTCACTGGCAGTGGAACAGGTCCTGGCATAAGGATGTAAGTGAGAAGGAAGAGCCAGTGATAGGAGAGGGTGTAATCGATGGAGCAAGGGACTGAATGGGATGAGCATAACGTGATCCGTGACAAGTGATGGATGGAAGCAAGGGTAAAAGTAAGTGGATCAGGACTAGTATGGAAACGAAGGGACAGGAAACTGAGAGAGTCACCCTCTGTGTTTACAGTACCAGATAAGACAGGAAAGCAGGAGGAAGGCAGACTTTGGGAGATGGCTTGAGGCAGGTGAACAGATACAAAATAAAATGGTACTGAGTGTAGGTGAAGAGGGTGGTGAACAGAACCCTCCTTCTGGATTATCTATCCAAAGGAATTGAGAGCAATGTCTGAAGCGATATTTAACAAACATGTTCACAGGTGCATATCATAATAGCCAAGAGCTGGAAGCAACCTAGTGTTCCTCGGTGGAAGAATGGATAACAACATAAAATCTATGCATGTGCTGTGGTTTGCGAATATCCCCCACTGGCCCATGTGTTAAAGGATCAGTCTCCAGGCTGTGCGCTATTGGGAGGTGATAGAATCCATTAGAAGCAGGGTCTAGTGGAAGAAATTAGGTCATTGAGGATGTCCTGTAGAAGGAGATATTGTGCCTACTGGTCACCAGTGGGGGGCCAGAATTCCTTTGCCATGCACTCCCACCGCGATACACTGTCACCACAGGTCCAAAGCAAGAAGGTCACATGATCATGGAATGAAACCCTTGAAACAGTCTGTTAAGTAAACCTTTCTTCCTTTATTTTTGAGTATACTGTCACAGTGATAGAAGCCTAACACAACACATGATGGAATTTTGCTATACATTTAAAAAGGTAGGAAATCCTGTCATGTACTAAAATATGATAAAACTTGAGGACTTTATGCTAAATGAATCTTGAAAAAGTCAAATGCTGTATGATTCTATTTGTATGGGGTACCTAAAGTTGTCAAATCTGGGGAAATAGAAAGTAGAATGATGCTTTCCTGGAGCTGGGGAGTGGGGGGAATGGTGATTTGTTGTTCAGTTAGATACAGAGTTTCAACTTCCCAAGATAAAATAGTTGATATCTGTCATACATTAATGTGAATATATTTAACCCTATTGAAGTATACAGTTAATAATGGTTATGATAATAAATTTCATGTTTCACATATGCAAAACTTTTTTTTTCTTAACTACAATTAAAAAAGAAATAAAGGATGTTGAACAGCATAGGAGAAAGTAGAGAGAGAATATTTGTGGTCACCCAGGAGCAAGATTCTACTTTTTCAACAGTTTAAATATTTGCATAGAGAATATTAACAGCTGGATCCAGAGTGTGTTGGAGAGGCTGTGTAGGCGGAGGAAGATGTTGGCTGAGAAATATGAGACAAAGTCTTGAGATGAGGGAATTGGATTTGTGGGTTGAGTTTGGCTAAAATGACCAACGTATAGATCAAAAAAGAACAGCTGATAAATTGCAAACTCTAAAAACTAAAAGACTATGTCTGTTTTTCAAGAATTCATGGGTTCCAGAAAATCAAAGTCACATAAGGCAAGTTGTGTTTTTACAATACTGTTTATTTGATGATGATATACATACACATTACTAATGTAAGCTCATGAGAAGACTTCTAAGGAAATATCCAAAGTTTGACTTTTACATCAGGTCTTTAAAGTTAAATCCTGATTCTTGCAACATGAAAACACCAAAACTTTGTACAAATTAGAATTACTGGTTATGGAAAGACAAAGAACATACAGCATTGTGAGGAAATATCCCTGGCCAATGAGGATCAAAGTGAAATACTTAACCACATGAAAGATGGAAATCTAGTCTTCCCGATAAAGGTGCCTAACACAAACAGAGGAAGTATTTCAAACTTGGTTTAAATAGTTATAGCTACATTGCAACCCAAAACATATAGTAATTGTAAGAATGTTGTTTAAAAATGAAGATGGCTCTGGTTACCAGGACAACACTTTTAGTGCCTTCCTAAAGAAGGTGACACCTTTCTAGCCATGTATTTGTTTGTAACCACAGCCTGACTTCAGGCCAGCAACCAGCAAAGCTTCAAAGTCCTTGCCCAGCACAGCTGTGAAACTGGAATCCAGTCTTTACCATTAGGCAAACCTTCTTTGTTCTTCATGAGAATAAGAGCATGTAGGAAATCATAGCTTGTAAAAAATTATCACATTGATCTTGAGACTACACAAAGAGACTTGCTGATTTTAAAGTGGCTTCTTTCCAGGCAATGTTTCACTGGTTTCCAAGGCAGGTGACCCATTGAAATGAATCATTTCTGTCTCGGTGGTAGCATGAATAGTGGCAGAGAAATTCAAAAGTTGAAATTACTGAGTGTTAACATTTTGCCTGCATGCCAAGTACAACCATTAGAAAGCCCACTAGAAGACATCATTCTATCATAAGTGATTCTTCAAATAACATACTTTGGAATAAATAATACTATAACTTATATTGATAAACATGTGTAAAACTAACAGGAACAAATGGAAAAATATTCTCATTCTCACTTATTCATATATTCACTCAACAACTATTTATGTGATGGCTTTACATTTGGATTTGGAGAGTGTGGCATTCCCAGTTCTCCCCCTGCCTGTCTTTGTGACTCCCCACCAGCAAGTAATCAACAGCAGCTTTTCTGTACCCTGCTTGTGGGACTTTTTGCTTACAGTGTTATACATGTAAGTCTTATTTAACTTCCCCAAATAAATGTCAAGTGGGCAGAGGTGTCATCTTTATTTTATATCTTATAGGGGAAAGTAATCTGAAGACACATTGGAATTCGAGTTCCTGACATTGGCAAGGATATTCTTTCAGCCTTCTCATTTATTTCTCAGTTTTCTCATTTATTTCTTGTTTTAGCCTGGTGTGATCTAGGGATAACACCCGTCTTTCCGCGTGGCAGCGAGGAGCAGTGAGATCAAGCACAAAGCCTTCACCAGATTGCCTGGGGAGAGGAAACCTTCCCTTGCTCACCCCGTTTTCTCCTGGGACCCTCAAATGGGTCTTTTGGGGGGAGCATTTCAATGTTTCTAAGCTGCCTATCTTTCAGCTTTCAACTTTAATTCACTGCTTATGGCCTTCTTTTTTTCTCCTTAAGCTCTGCCATGTTTCCCAGCTGATTAATCTGATTTCTACACTGAGAAAACGGCATTATTAGAAGAGAACAGGACCCGTTTGTCCACCATCACCCCTCTCCTGCCTTCTGGCTACCCTTCCTTTCCTTCTGTTCACCTCTCTCAGGTCAACCCCTCGCTCAAGCAGCAAGATCTCCTTCCCTTGGTGCACCCCTGTGTTGCTCGAGTAATTCTTCTCTCTTTCCTGGCTCACTGCTATTTTCCTGCTAGATCATTCTCATCTGCACGGAGTGAGCTTCTATTTACCCATTCTTAAAAAACATTTCTCTTGATTTCTTCCTACCCTTACTTCTAACTCTTGCTGTCACTCTTTTTATATGGTCACCTATGTAGGACAAACGTCCAGAGAGGGCTGTCTGTACTTGAGATCTGCGACTTCTTTCCTTTCATTCTCTGTTAAGCTCACTAAGCCAGGCAAAATTCAAGTTCACCAACAATCTGGTGCTACTTCCAATGGTCAGGTTTCTCTACTCATCTTTTTAACCTAATACAGCACTGACCAGACTCTCCCCGCCCTTTCTGTGCCTGACTTCCAAAGCACCGTAACACAGGGCTTTCTCCTGCAAGAAGCAGCTTCTTGGTCCTCTGCTGGTCCCTCTTTACTCCATGACTGGTACTGTTGCAGAATCTAAGGCTCAGGACTTGAACTTTCCCCTTCTCTAGCCTCTTTCACTATCTTTTTCAGCCTCACTGTTATGTAAATGCAGACACTGACACACTGGGCTCTCCAGCCTGGACCTAATGCCTGGAATCCGGACTTGTACACCAGCTGTCCCCGTGACACTTCTATCTGGAGGAGTATTACACATCTCACACTTCACAGCTTCAAAGTGCAGCTCCTGCCGTCTCATCCTTTACATCTTAATTCATACCAATTCCATTCTTTTATCTTCTTAGGTCACAAAATATCATCATTCCCACCTCTCTGAGTCTCTCATACTCTGATACTGTCAGCAGTTCCAAACGTCACTATCTTAAAAATACATACAGACTCTGACCTCTTTTCTCAAGCCTGGTGGTACCCACTCACAACCTGCCTGGGTTATTGCAATGGCCTTTTCACTGTTTACCATCTTCCCCTGTGGCTTCCTATAGCCCTCCCCCTTTCTTCTCTCTCTCTCCCTCCCAATCTCTCTTTCTCTCAGCCCCTCCCTCCCTTCCTCCTTCTCTCTCACCCTCCCCATCTCTCTTCTTAACACAGCAATTAAGGTGACTGTGTAGTTCATTTGCTTAAAACTCCAGTGGTTCCCATCTCAGAGTGAACACTCACTACAATGACATGATTACCCTCTCCCCTGCTTCTTATCTCTCATCACCTCCACCACTCTGCCTTGGTCCCTTGGCTCTAGACCACCAGGACACCCAGCAGAATCCCACTGCTTTACAGTCTTTCTACTACTGTTATTTGTTTATTTTTTTAACCTGGAGAGTTCTTCTTCTATGAGGCCACAAGGCTGCCTGGTTTCTTCCCTCAGCTTTTGTTCAACTGTCCTTTTCCAGGGGAAGACTTCCCTGTTCTTGCACTCCCTGGTGCCTGCTTTCACTTTCTTTATCTTTTTATTTTTTCTTAACCATTTTTCTAGGTAGTATATTTGTTGAAAGGATGAATTAGCGGTTAAAGAAAAGTAGAAACGTAAGTTGTTATAACAAAGTAGGTAAGTTAATAATGCAACACGTGTGGGATAGTCAAAACGATAAATACTTAATACTAAAAATGAAAGGCAATCTTGATATATTAATTGATAAAAATGTTCAATTTCATACCAGTCTATCTTCAGATTAGCTTGCTGAGCTGTACGGATCAATGGAGTATCCTTCTTGTGTTTCTAAATTAAGATCTTCTTTAGGCTTTGCATTTGTACGGTAACTGCTACATTGAAGAAATAAGAAAAATACAGTCTCTATTTTTTACTAAAGTTGTGTAGCTTTTTGCTTTCCATAATTCTCAAGACATGGCAAGTGTTTTTCAAAAATGATTTATTTTCTTAACTATCACTATGACCCAATTTTTTTGAAAGTTAGAAAAAAAAAAAAAACCATCCAAATCAGTCATCTATCTTTCTGTGTAAAAATTTCTATGTAAAAATAAAATACTTGATGGCTTGATAAATGTTCAAATCAGAGGTTAACACTACACAGTTTCACTCCTTATTCAGGACTCTTAATGACTAACAATTATAACTCTCAAATAGAAGAGATAAATTGAAAGTCTTTATTCTAGCATTTGATCAGAATTTTAGCCCTGTGGTACACAACTTGTAATTTTCCATTCCAACTTGAAAGGAAACATTAGTTTTTGAAGTTTAACTCAAAATCTTTACATACTCACACAACACTACAAACTTTAAACAGTTTTTGAAGTGAATGTTTTCAATTTTATTTTTTCAAAGTGTATATACCTGTCTCTCTCTCTCTCTCTCTCTCTCTCTCTCTCTCTCTCTCTCTCTCTATCTCTATCTCTGTGTGTGTGTGTGTATGTGTGTATATTTTCTGGGGATGGAACCAAAGGCTTCACACATGCTAGGCAAGTGCTTTATCACTGAGCTATCCCAGCATCACTAATGTGCTTCTAAAATCCCTTTATTGGAATCAGTGAATGACAATAAAATGTGATTATACTTTCATTGTCAGCTTTGAAACAAATTACTGGGGAAGATTACTGCTAAGGGTAGTTACAACTTGTCACTAGCATATTTAAGAGGTCAGCTCATAGGAGATACATTGAAAGTATAATTTAATGGCAATTTTTAGACCAATGAGAAATTCAGATGTTGTTAAAATAGATGATAGAGAATAGGACAGTCTTTTTGAAATATTTGTATGACTATTAAAATTGTTCAATTTTGTCAATAGATATTCCTTTTTTGATGAGTTATTTCTCATCTCATTTTCCAAAAAGTATTCAGGGAAATTCACATGTCTGTATCAATTACTAGAAAATAAATTGAAGTAGGTTAAAAATGGAAATAAAACCAGTGAGTGACACTTAGGAATTTAGTCTGACATATCTATTTGGGTTACAACAATTAAGACACATAAATAAAGTATATTATATAACATGCTAATAAGAAGATTAGAACTTTGAATTATTTTAACTTTTAGGTATTCTCCAAGTTTGCAAATTTCCCTACACATGCAAGGCTCTGATTGGCAAACCTAGTAGCGTGAAGGAAAGAGATAGAGACCACATTTCCTATTTATTTAAATGTTTCCCTACTCTTGGTTAAAATTATCTTTTAACTTCCTATGTGTGAAGCTATGCAAATGACAGACCTCTATGTCTATGTATACTTATGTTTTTGAGATCATTTTTTCTCTTGAATTTATAAGAGGCATGCAACAGTTACTGTTTAAGAACAAAATGTGGGGACACAGTCATTATCCCATATCCCTTCTATTTTTCTAACACTCTTGGTCAAATTTTAAAAAACCATCATTGATATCCTAAATAAAACAACATACAGAAGTGTCCACAGCAAATAGCTGACATTCATTAATTTAGCACAGCACTGTTGGCAATAAAGTGAGACAACAATAAATAAGTAATTAACAATGTACAGCCAGTGGAAATTATGTAAAAATAACAAGTTGTAGAAAATATATAGTTTTTAGGTTTTGTACTTGGAATTGAACTCGTCCTCATGCATGTTAGGCAAGTGCTCTACCACTGAGGTACATCTTCAATTCTCTTTTTATTTTTATTTGCTGAGGTGCCTAGGCTGGCCTTGAACTCGTGATTCATGGGCATGTGCTATTGTGCCAGGCTGAAAATACAGTTTTTTATTGAGACAACTAGATAATCCACTGAAATAATTATTGGAGTAAGTCACTAGATAAATAAATTTTGCTAGATCTCATTTGAAGTTAATTATAGGATGTAGCCCATACATTGGAACCAAATGGGGCAGGCATGGTTTCCTTAAAACAGGCTTTCAAATAGTTGACTACATAGAAAAAAATTGCCAGTAAATTACATTGACCAATTATCACAAAAGAAATTCCAGATTCAAATGATAAAAAATTTAAAGTAAAATGTAAAGGTCTGGGGCTGGGGATTTAGCTCAGCGGCATAAGCGCCTGCCTTGCAAGCAGGCAGTCGTGAGTTCGATCCCTGGTACCGATAAAAACGAAAAAAACAAAAAAAAAAGTAAAGGTCTGTCTAGTTTCAGGACAAAAAATTATAGCAAGAACTAGAAACCTAATGATATATTTACTTGGGCAATCCTGAAAATAGTTAAATGAAAGACTACTTGAATAAATGGAAAAGCCTAGGATGTTTCTGAAAGAGAAGACATCACAGAAAAGATGTTCTCAGAAGCCAGCCTAGAGACTTAAATGCAATCACAGCATGTTTGTTTTCAGAAAGATGACAAATGATTCACAGGATCACTTGGAAGAAAAAACAGAAGGAAATAGGAAGCCCTAAAAAAATACAGGGAGGGATTTGCCTTATTAGATATTATTGTAGTATGTATCTATCCTAATGAAACACAAAGTGGTTTGCGGGGCTGGGGATTTAGCTCAGCGGCATAAGCGCCTGACTTGTGAGCAGGCGGTTGTGAGTTCGATCCCTGGTACCAATAAAAAGGAAAAAGGCAAAAAAAAAAAAAAGGCACAAAAGGGATCAAGAAACACAGGATATTCAGTTACATTAATTATTTTGATACATGATCAAGTTAGAACAAACCTTGTGGAAAGCCCATAGGCAATATTTATTAAGTATATTAACTATTCATAGTAATTCTAGTAATTCTAAAATCTATCCAAAGGAAACAAGTAGATACTATTAAGTTTATCAAAAAACATTCATTATGTCTTCATTATCAAGAAAATTGTGGAAGCAATCTAAAATTTTTCAACACAGGAAGTTGTTGAAAAATTACAAAGAAAACATGATTTAAAGACACAAAATTATGTAGTTAGTCTAAATGAAAAGTAATTCAAGATGAAAAACTATACTGCCAAAATTTCACCTCATTAAAAAAAGAAGAAAGAATATAAGAGAACTCTTAGCTAGGAATACAGTAATTATCTGAAGCTGTCGCCATGCAGCTATTTTGTGTGGGGGTTTTCGTTTTATTTCCCAGATGGTTTCATTTTGTTTTATAATATACCACCTGAATAAACATCAGTAGCCAAAATAAGCTATCTGGTCTCTTTTAAGTCCTTACAAGAGTTTTTCCTTCCATGTATCTCAAGATGCTTTGTGCCAATTAGCACACCGCAGTATTCATCTAACACAACTCGTGCTTGTGTGTTTACAAAAGCCAATGCTTGTTGAGCCGTTTGGCTAAGCGTTTGGACTTACCGTACTCTGAGTTTTGATATCATGCATAAGGCAGCGATACTCAACAGGAGAACAAGTACCGGGGCTGCAATACTACCTGCAGGAGGGGAAGAGTGAGCATCAAAAGCCAAAAAGATGTGTGCTGTGGACCGATAATGGGGCCTGGCGGTAGGGAAATGGTTTTGTGATGTTTATACTTAACTCTTCTCAATCATAAATATTAACTTCTTGAAAGATCATAATTGGGTTTGAGTTTTTTTGTGTCTGCCTTTCAGAGCAGCACCAGTTGCGTGAGCCCAAGATTCTAGTCCTTTCTTTGTGGTTTTTTTCTGTTCCTCCCAATTTCATCAGTCACATTCTTGTCATTGTCTTGAAATTAGGAGCAGAGGCTACCAAGATCCCACACTTTTGCATAACAACACTTTGACTCTAGATTGGGAGATACATTTTGCTACAACAGAATTTAAAAACCTATTTCATCCCAACCAGTGATATAGCTCAGTGGCCCAGCACCTGTCTGGTAAGCACAAGATCCTGAGTTTGATTTCCAGTAATCCCCGCCTCCCAAAAAAACCAAACCTATTTCAGTAGTACCAAATCATGGAAAAACATCAAGAGTTTATAAATTGAAATGCTGTTTAAAAATCAGGACTATTTGGCTGTTTAAATATTTACCTAACACTGTCCCAAAGAGACATTTTGTGACATGGCATGTAGGTTAAAAAATACCTTTAAACCATAAAAGAAGGGGATGGTTATTGAGTTAAAATGAAAAAACATTAATAGGTAGGATATAGATACATATAAATGTATGTATAAAGCATCATAAGAGGTTTTCTTCAAGAATTTAAGGAAACTTACCATAAACAACAGGAGCAGGTGAACCTAAGTAAAATACAAAGCAATGAAAATGTCAGTCTAGTTAGCACAACTCAGTGTGCCCAAGTCCCATCATCCTCTGGTGCTGGCCCAGAAGGCAACAGTCAGCCCCCTTCCAGGACTATTATGTTATTTGTTCCCGAGTTATAGCCATTCTTTTACATACAAAGCCTCACTGTATGTTCTTTTCACTTTAATTAGGTAAGCTGGGGGAGGTTGCCAACAGAGAGAGAGAATAAAAGGATGTAATCACATTTAAAATGCATGATTCCTCAGAATCCAGTGCAGATTTAATTGTCATCACAGTGAGTTAACAGTATTTGAGCTCCTGGTGAACTGGTAAGCACTTCAAAATCAAGATTCGTCAAACAGGGAAGTCTCTGGTGTGAGTCCTCTAAATGGAAGGCTGTAGGTTTTGCATTTTTGTTCCTTTTAAATTAGTGTTCCCCTCTTTTTATTTTCTTTTATTTAGCTTGCCTATCCTCACAAAGGTGTGCTTTTTCTAAAGTGGACTACTGGCTTCAAGTTTATCTGTTAGTGCACCACTGGCCACAGAGCTATGCCCACTGAAAGCCTGCTGAGAGAGATCTCTTGCTGGCCACTGTCCACGCTACATACAAGCAGCAGTGAAACCTTGGCACTTACGGGATCTGCAGACGGCCAGAGGAGGGTTCCACTGCTGGTCATCCTGGCACTGGCTCTGGGGACTGCCCTCCAGGGTGTATCCATCTTCACACTTCATGGTCACGATGGACCCGTACTGGTACATCTTCTCAGGCTCCAGTCCCTTCTGGATCCCATTTGTGTTCTCAGGGAAGCTACAGTTTACCTCTGCAATTAAAAGAATTCAAGTGAAGCAGAGCCATGCTTTGTCCTTTTAACAAGAAGAAAGCAGAAACTGACCTTAATGGAAACATTCACAAAACAAATTTGTCTCATTCTAGGTAAGTAGAGCTTCAGAGAAATAATGACTTAAGCACAGCCTCTCTCAATAACCCCAGAGTGATTTTATCCAGATTGCTCTTTCTGCTTCTATGTCATCACTCACAGTAGCAGATGGTCCTAATGGCCTCTCAGAGAAATGGAGGAGTCACGCTGAATATTGTGTTTTATTTATTTATTTATCGGTACCGGGGACTGAACTCACGACCACCTGCTTGCAAGGCAGGTGCTTATGCCGCTGAGCTAAATCCCCAGCCCCTTACACTGAATATTGTGACTCACTGTCTTTTTGTGTGTCTTGTCTACTTTCTAATTCTTTGTGCCATGTGAGTGCTTCCTCACTTCTTCCTTCATCTTCTCAGCACAGGGATCGCGAGAGTGTGGGATCTTGGATTTGATCCTGACTCTTCTACTTCCCAGTTGTGTGGCTTAGGGTTGGTTCCAAGTCACCAGAACCTTACCTAGACCACAGGATGATATCGGCAGCAACCTGCGGTGAGTGCTATGAAGACTACATGAGACGAGGTGTGAAAGGGGCTACATCCGGGATCTGGCACATGTTAGAAAGTGCTCCATAGTATTAAAGGTGAAGTTATTACTCATTTCATACATTGTTTATGATCATGAGTGTGACTTTTTGGAACTTTTATAAAAATGTCTGCATAATCCTGTCACCATACAGAGGAAATAGATGCAGAAGTCCATTGTGCTCTTTATTGGTATTTTATCAAGTGCACACTTATCATATCACCACAGGTAAAACAAAACTGTGCTTTCATTTATGAAAGTACATCAACTTTCTATATGTGGTCAACTATGTAAGTGGTCATTTGCAGTCAGACTACAGCCTAGGCCATTTTTTTCACCTCGAGAGACTTATATTAGGTAATATATTAACCCAATCAAATGCATTTAACTAAATGGTCCAATTAATGCATTTCCTTGGCTGTTTTAAGTTGAACTTACCTAACTGTGAACATATCTATGTGGAACAAATTGATTTACTATGAAGAACAACAAGAAAACACACAGACCATGCACCTTTACAGTAAGGGGCAGCTGGGCTCCAGGTCCCTTCATGGGTGCACAGCAGGAGGGGTTCCCCCACCAGCACGTAGCCTGGGTCACAGGTGTACAGCACAGACATTCCAGGAAAAAACTGAGTTCCATCTGCACCAGTATGGTTCCCATTGAGGACTGCTTGTGGAGGCGGACACTCTATGAAAGCTTAGAGATCAAAAAGAAAGGAACTTTAATACAGTGCAGAACACCTAGATGAGCGTATTTCTTGTGGTGGCAATAAGAAAGGCAATGAGTGATATATTAGCCAGTTAGCTGGTGACCAGAAACCTTCATTCCAACTGGACCAAGCAATGCTGGAAGATATGCACTTTATATCTACATCATGCCAGATCTGAGGAAATGCACCAAATGGGAGGTGCTGAAATATCTATCAGCCAAAAGAGTTCACTTCTTTTCCCTTTAAGTAGCAAACAGACTGTCATCTAAGCAGCACACAATCAAGTAGAACTAGGAAGTGAAGCCACCAGATGTGACAAACTAGAAAGCTTCTGTTCTCCCAAAAGTGGCAGCCACTGAAGACTCACTTTTCCCAGCTTCATTGTTTACCTTGGATCATGGGGATGGATTCAACCTAAAATAAGACCACTTGGCTGACCAAAGAGAGCTATTCTGGGGCAATGAATTCTACGGGGTCCCTAATTAGAAGCTGGTGTTGGAGGTAATTACTGAAAGGAGTAAAACTGTCAATTGGCAACTAAGACAAGAAAGGACATTCGATGGATTTGAAGGCCAGCTTCGTTCCCCTCAACACCAACAGGCTAGAAGGAGGAATGGCAAGCGCTTGCTCAAAAACCTTTATTTTGTACAACATCCCATATTTTATCCCTTAAAATATCTTACCCTTTCGGATACAGGATGGTATACTTGGCACCCATGTGTTATCCGTATGGCACCTTATCAAAGCATTGCCTTTCATGATGAAGCCAGGATTGCAAGCAACATACACTATGTCATTGTGAGAATATGACGACTGAGTTTTGTTGAGTAGATATCCATGTTTGATGCCTGGACTAAGGCAGTGAGTTACAGGAGGCGATTGTAAGCACTGTGGGGGAGGCCCACTCCAAGCTCCATGTCCTTCAGAATTACTTCTGCACTGTAAGTTTTTCTCTCCCAAAAGATAAAATCCTGGGTTGCATTTATAAGAGACTTCAGTCCCATACAGAAACTGTTTTGCCATTATGCCTGTGGGTCTCCCATTGGCAATCAGTGGTGGAGGCTCACAGTGAATAGCTGCAGAAGAAATTTAGGGAATTCAGCTTCAGGGAGCACATCACAGTGGACAGTATTCCTTCAGATATGGACAACACTATGCAAATGCATTGTACTTCACATTACTAGTTATTTAAACTTTGGAACCTGGATTACACTTTTTGTACAACAACTTTGTAATGTAAGCACAAAAAATTCAGAAAACACAATAAAGTATAGGAAGAAATATATCTGTGTTTCTGTGACCTAAAACTATGGGCTACTTTTATATTTAGCAAAATTAGCTGACAACTGCTTGACAGCTACCTCAATTGTTTCTAGTATGGATCAAACAATGATATATTTTTCATTATCTTACATACACTGAGGAGAAGAATAAACTATTGGGACAGTTACAAACTAGTTCTTTAGTGGCCTTCCCTCTCTGACTACAGATGTCTACAATTTGCTCTTTTATTCCCAATTTACCTTCACAGTGTGGACTTTTTTGAAACCAGACTCCATTCTTGGCGTCTTGACACTTCTTATAGGTATATCCACTCAACTGGTACCTAGAGAGGGATACATGGTAATACAGTAGTTTTTCTTTGCCCAATATCACATTTCTGCAGCCTGACCTCTTCAAACTATAAAAACAGTAGTACTTCTAAATAAGAACTTCAGCACATAGAAGATAAAGCCCTTGGTCCCGCAAACAGAAAACTACTTTAGAGTTACAAACACTCAGTGCAAAGCCTTTTCCATTTCAAGGAAGCATCAAAAAGCCAGAATTGCTGGTTAGGTCAATGGAGCCTCATGTCCTCTCTGAGTGTGGCAATGGGGACCTCTACGGGGCCTCACTGTGACAAGTTGTGGGTGAAGTTAATGCCTCATATCAAGTGTATCATTTTCTCAGAGTGGGACTATCTCCTACTCACCCCTCTCTACAGGAGGTATTCACAAGTTCCACTCGGGAGCCAGCTGGGAGCTCTGTCACAGGCTCGCATCCTTCTGGAAAAGCCAAGTTGGGATGACTTGTACATGCCTCATAGCAACAAGAAAGAGAGCTTTGGAACCGAAGGGATCTTTGAGCCATGGGGCAGGACTCTTGTGTCCTGAAGGCAGACGGTCAATGTTACTTCCCACAGCATGTAGCCAGGGTCACAAGTGCTGTCTGCAAACTTCTCAGAGACCACGGAGACCATTTTCTCCCCAGCACTGTTCACAGTGGAACCCACATGACATAGGGGCATCTTGGTCAGAGGCAGTCTGGAGCTTTGTAAGAACAAAGGTCAGGCACCTCTCATTCATCACTGAGTGCTTCTGCTGTTGTGAAAGAATGAGGCCCATTCCAACAGGGCTTCTCATTTTCCACCCTGAATGCAGCCCAGTCAAAAGAGCTGTTCACCCAAGAACACACAGAACTCATGCAGAACAAGGTACCAGAGCATGGAAGAAACTGGAAAGTAACACGTGCTCCCTTTGCTGTTCCCCAGGACTGTTCTTATAAACAAGAATAAGGAAATAGAGTTGGGGATACAGCTCAGCAGCACAGTGCCTAATTGGCAAGTGCTAGATCCTGAGTTCAATTCCCAGTACCGAAAAATATAAAAAGAAAAGGTAAGTAAAAACCCTCCCCCACTAGGTTTTTACCTTTTTCACAAACTGGAATTTCAGGATCCCAGGTGCTATCAGCTTTGCAACGAATTCGACCACTGCCCTTCAAAATAAATCCATTCTTACACTTAAATGTCACACTGTCATTGTAGGAAAATGGGGCTTCCTTGCCAGATATCTTGTATCCATTGGCAACGTGGGGAGCTGAGCACTGGACAGCAGGGAGGGAGAGTTTACAGAGAGGAGCAGGACCACTCCAGGTGCCCCTGTCTTGATCATCACTTGTGCAACGAATAGCATGCTCCCCAATGAGGTCCAATTGCACTCCTTTCTCTGGCCCAGGGTTACACGTGTAAATGACCGTAGTTCCATATGACATATTTTCTAAGGAACTTCCCGTGTGTGTCCCATCATAGATAACAGGGGGTGGCGGGCAGGTGATTTCTAGAGAGATGAAAAGACACATAGAAGTCTGTGCCAGTATCAGACACCAAAGAAAAAGAATAGAAGCCAAGCACAGTACGATCCTTTTGTTTTCAGGTAGGTACAAGTGACTTTTCGTGGGTTATATTGAAACTTTGTTTTATATATATAAAATTTGATTTAGACTGATTTTACAAAAACAAATCTTTACTAAGTAAACATACTGATTTTTACCTTATGAAGCATTAAATCTCAGTAGTCAGTTGCTAATTAAAAGGGAGAATTCTTTTAACTTAGCCAGTAAGGGAATAAAAGGTACAGAGGAATGGGATTAAGCTTTTTTTTAGTTTTACCTTTGGGCTGAGATCATATGATCATTTATATGATTAGTGAAGCATATTTATTATTGATTGAGTGCCTATTTTGGGAAAGGCATATTAATTATTGGAACTTCATTCCGATAATTTTAAAGTCTGTGGTTATATGCCAACCTTAAAGTAGGGAGACTAGAATTTCAGAGAAGCAACATAAATTGCCCGAGATTGTACAGCTATAACGTAGTAGGAACAGAAACTGAGTTCAGATGTGACACAAATCCCCTAATCTCTGCACTAGCATACTGTGTCCTAGATTATAGATAGTGGTTCATATCCTCATCACTGTCATTACTCTTGTAATTCTAAATGCCAAGAGAGAATCAGTAAAACAGTATGTTTAATTTAACTGATTGAGGTAGAAAACTTTAACAACAGAAAGATGTGGCAAAACTACATGACAATGACTACTGACAAAGTTAGTAGAACAGAATGTCATATGCTAATTCCCATTGCATGCCCTCAAATTGAAATTTCCCTGGAAATGCATGGATCTTACATCAGTCAGAACCTCTGTCATTTTTTGCTACTCACCTTCACAAAGACGGATCTCCATATACCAAGGAATTTTTCCTTGACACAGCTGATAAGCATTGTCACCTAATCGATACCTAGAAACAGAGAATCATTTCATTCGGCCATCTGGCGACCCCTAAGCTAAGCAACAACAGCCAACTCTAAAGCAGTCTCACCACTTTCAAAACAAGAAGCAACAAGAACAAAACCATAGCCAGTTTCAGTATCATCCACCCACTGCAGTTTCCACGCATGGAAAAATTGGCACAATCAGCACTCTATAAGCACGTGACAGGAACAAACCTTTGCAATAAACTTACATAAAGCTTGCAGTGTGCACAGATAAGCCAGACCTGGTTTGGGCTGAGTCAGCCTTCACTCACCCTTCACCACAAGTAGAATAAACAGCTGGTCTAACATATCTATCCTGAGGTTTTTTAAAAAGTTGAGGTCCTAATGGTTTACACTGTGCCGCTAAGGAAAGAGACTAGGATGAGAAACAACTTCAGGCAATCTTAGAACAAACAAGGCATCTGTCTTTGAGGTCTGGTACCTTTGCACTGCGGGGGAGCAGGTGTCCACTTCCCTTCAGGGGTGCAATGGATGGATTCTTCTCCCACCAGCTCATAGCCAGTGTTACAGCTATATTTTATAGATGTGCCAGGGACAAACCGGACCATGTGTCGGTCCTTGTGCCCATTGAGGATATGAGGAGGTGTCTGACAATCTAAAGCACAGGGAAAACAAAACAAAATGATCTTAAATAAACAACAACAGAAAGAAACTGACTCCAAGAAGTTGACATTAACAGTATAATTCCACTCTGGGTGCAGATAAGCGTAGGGGTCAGTGTTGTTTTCTTTTCTGCTCTCAGGCTGTTATGAATCCTATTCAGATCCTGGTTACTTCTTTCCCTTAAGGAGTCATTTTGGGTGCTTTTATGGGAGATTTTGATCTATCCCTGGGTGAAGTCCCCTTTAAGACATTTTTTGTTAAAGAGAGATGAGATTTTTCCTCCCATTTTCTCCCAAAGGAATGCAAAACTTAGAAATGCTTAACGTTTTCTCCCCAAGCATATTTCCACAAAATGAAGCAATGGTGGAAAGGTAATAAATATTAGGAAAGCCCTCACTAGGTTTTCTGTCTAATATGTTTAGTATGGCTGAGGGAGCTAGAAAAGGCCATTTAAAGCATGCCACCTACTCCCGGAAATTTTCAGAATTATACATCACTAGCACTGTGGAGCCTTGGATACCTACCCTTGTCACAGACTGGTACTGATGGCTCCCATGCACCCTGAGCATTGCATCTGATTCTCCTGCTGCCCTTCAAGGTGAAGCCAGAATCACAAGTAAATGCCACAGTGTCATTATAGGAATATTGGTCTTTCTGTGCAGAAAAAATTTGACCTCTTAAGATTTGGGGATGAGGACATTGAACCGCAGGAGTAGAAAGTTTGCAGTATGGGGAAGGGCCACTCCAGGTCCCTATCTTCTGACTGTCCATGGTGCAATGGATAGTTTTCTCCCCAACAAGGATGAAGGTCACTCCTTCCTCAGGGTCTGGATCACAAGTGTAAGTTACAGTGCTTCCATATGAAACATTTGTTGAAGAGCTGAGTCTTCCATTGAGAATAGGAGAAGGTGGTGGGCAAAGAATTTCTAGAGAAATTACAGAGACAGGAAATATCACAGGCATGCTGCAACATAGAGTGTCTTAGGGATGATTGTAACCACTGTCACATCTTAGGTTCAAAACAGTCACATTTCTTTGTGTCAATCATAGCAGCTCATGAAATAAAATTTAAAAGTATCATTTTAAAACTTGATTGGTGAATGCATTTGCACTGTTGATCCTTTAATTCTTATTGACAAATATTTAATTTCTTCTTTGTATGTGCTTTGGCTTTGTACTTAATAAGTGAGTATAGTTTCCAGAGAAGGAAAACCCTAGGAACTCATTTGATTTAAGGAAGCAAAAAATTAAGAGGCAACTGAAGGTGGCTTCAGTGAAGACCAAATACTTAAGATCTCCAGGAGTTCTTTGTTCTGTAAGGGTTTGTATGCTAATAATGAACCAACATTATTTAATGAAGCTGTGAATGCAGGGTTCTTTTGAACCTCAGTGGTTCATACTAACTGCATTTATCTCACCTACCTTCGCACACTGGCTTCTTGGTCCATGTAGCTTTCCCAGCAATAATCACACACTTACTAGAGGAGGAGCCTTGTAATCTGTACCTGGAAGCAGAGAGTTGTCACTGGGAATTATTAGGCAGTTTGTGCTGCAAAACAATGATTTCACCTAAAAGCTAAGGCAAATTCACACAGTGTGCATGCCTCGCTCCCTTTACGAGTAACCTCCCTCACATCCTTGTTTAAGATGTCATTGGACACTCACAAAGGACCTTTTGCAGGTTACACAGTCACAACAGACACAGGTAATTCCAATGCATTAGATCTCACAGACCTTCCTGACACTCACCCTTCATTACAGGAAAACTGCACAGTTACGCCAGCACGAAGACTTGCGGGTTCAGTGACCTGCCCATTGGGAAATTGTCCTATAGGGTCACATAGTGCCTCTAAAAAACAAGTCAAACTTAAGGAAGCATGGCAAATAACAGGACAACCCAGTTTCTTTTTTTCTTTTCTTTTCTTTCTTTCTTTCTTTCTTTCTTTCTTTCTTTCTTTCTTTTTTTCTGTCTTTTTGAGACAAGGTCTCGCTATGCAGTTCAGGCTGGCCTTGAGCTCACTTTGTAGCCCAGGCTGGTCTTGAACTCACAATGACCCTCCTGCCTCAGCCTCCCGAGTGCTGGGAATACAGGCGAGAGCCACCATGCCTGGCTTGAAAACCCAGTTTCTTAAAATAGATTTTATAGTTAGGATACCTTTGCACACAGGAATCTTACTGCTCCAGTAGCCCGAAGATAAACATGTAATCGTTGTTGGTCCTACAAGCATGTAACCAGTGTGACAGCTGTATGTCACAGACGATCCTGGGGCAAAGCGGTCACTAGTTTTCCCTGAGTGAGATCCATTGGAAATCTGGGGAAGTGGTGGGCACTCCAGAGGGAAATCTTTACAAACACAATTAGAAAAAAAATGCCATTAGATGATACATCCTGTACAATTTAGATGTTGACTTAGGACACAGTACTTAATACAAGTAACTTTCAATTTCACCTTTGAAGGATCAAATGGATGTGGTTTAATAGTACCATTTTATGCCATGACTACTGCATTACATACAGTATACCCTGTGAAGTAATAGTTCAGAGTTTGGGGGCTCAGTTATTTGCAGAGTTTTCCTTAGAACTCAACCAATAACTTCATGAAACCCCGTACAAATTTGTGGAAATTGCTAATGTCCCCCACAGTTGTTTTTTCAGGAGGTTTGCAAGTAGCCAACCCGAGAGTGTTATTTAGTTCATCTTGCTCCTGATTGGCTGCTGCCCTGTAACCATCTGGGGCAGGTGCAGCCAGCATTCTGCATCATAACAGGTTGCTATGCTACATGTAGCTGTCTCAAGTGCTCCTGGTTTTGTTTTTTTTTAAAGATGCTGCTAAAATGCTCTTTACCTTCTAAGGATTTATTAATACAGTATTTTACGAAATTAAATTATAAAACAGAGGGACATATAGCATATTTAGGGTTTAAACTATAAAAAGAGGCATTAATAGGCATTTTTCTGATCATATGTGTGGTTTTTCACAATTGTGAGGTGCTCTAGGAACATAACCCCTACCAGTGTCTTTCTTTCTTCCTTCCTTTCTTTCTTCCTTTCTCTTTCTTTCTTCCTTTCTTTCTTCCTTTCTCTTTCTTTCTTCCTTTCTTTCTTCCTTTCTCTTTCTTTCTTCCTTTCTTTCTTTCTTTCTTTCTTTCTTTCTTTCTTTCTTTCTTTCTTTCTTCCTTTCTTTCTTTTTCTTTCCTCACAACGCAGCACTTTCCAGGCGGTGCTTGTGCCGCTGAGCTATAACCCCAGCCCCTGCCACTGTATTTCTCAAATTAAATTATGCTATGACTTTTACCTTGAGAAAAATTACAGTTGTCAAAAATTACTTCACTTTTACCCCATCTCTCAGTCTGTTCTCTGTTCCACAGGCAGTACATATCCTTTAGAGGTTATCCTATTATATATTAATAATATAATCTATTGGCACCCTATATATGACACACATAAACACACATACAGTAGTATAGTGTGTGCACCCCATCCATGTTATTGTGTGCTTTGCTCCTTTACTTATTAATACAGTATATCTATATCATTCTATATCAGTGCATATAGGTCTGCCTACGTCTTCATAAAGGCTCACTTGTTTCCCATAGCAAATCCAAATCTGGGACTATCTCTTGCTCTCCTTCCCTTCATTGATCAATTTTAAAATAATTTCAAATTTTCTCAGTTTTTAAAAAACCCGTTAGAATTTATCAGTATTTTCTTTATTAAGTAAATAAATATCCAATTTTGACAGTATTGTTATAGAATATTTCTAATCTTTGAAATTTTAGAATTTATACTTGGATTCTGGTCTCATTATTAATTCAAACTGAAGCAGATGAGAAGACAGTGAAGAGTTTACAGAGGTCTTATTTTCAGTCATTTGCTATGTGCTAGCCCCAAGCAATGTCTTGGGGAAAGAGTGAGTCATTTCAGAACTGGTCTACCAAAGCCACAGAGAACAGAGAATCACCTGAATCAGCCCAAATTAAGAGCTATTCATGGGTGAATTTTACATCTCTGGGAGTATTTTGCTGTTATATTCCACTTTTCTTCTTAAACAACCCATGTACACACAATGTTGAAACCACCCAATTCTCAGAGTCCCAATAAACTCTGGTCCCATCTTTAGGAGACTTTTCTTGCTCAATTTTTAGGTATGTTCAACTACATTTGCTCATAATACTTTAAACTCCTTTGCTCAGTTGATATTTTTTAAGAGGATAGTTATAATTCTGCTCATCTAAGCAAAGAAGGAAGCAAATTTCCACCTTTTCTCTTGCTTCCAACCTCTACTCTTGTCACTCACACATCCATACCGCTCTCCCCTCAGGAGGAAATAAAGCACCATCCTTGCAGAAATGCAAGGGTCCAATGCCTCAACTAGGTCTTCTTCGAGTACTTACCACTCTCACAGATTGGCAGTGGCGTTGGCCCCCAGGTTTTATTTGCTTGGCACCAAACAGATTTATTTCCTTTCATGGTGAAGTTGGTGTTACAGGTGAATGTCACATAATCACCATGTATGTACGGTGGTCTTCCTTTAATTCTGTACCCCCCTGGTACTACTGGCTCAGAGCAGAAGGAATTTTTATTGAAATATTCACATATTGGAGGAGGTTTGTCCCAGATCCCGTTCACTTTGTCTTTACTTATACAAAGAAGAACTCTTTCACCAATGAGGCGGAAGCCAGATGAGCATGTATATCTTATTACAGTATTGAGAGTTATGCGTCCATAACTGGCACTTGTCCGGCCATTGTTGATAGTAGGAGGAGGGCCACAAAAGATTTCTGAAAAGCAGGGGAAAAAAGTATGAAATGACAATAAAAAGATTAAAATTTAAATAAAAGATCTGAATACAGTTCATATCACTTTCTTAGATGCAGACTTAAAAATATATATGATTTATTTATCACTTATAGTCTCCATTTACTTCTAAGATCCCAAATTCTTTCCTCTCCTTATCTTCAGCAAACAAATCAATATAAACCATTTTTTAAAATAACAGTGAAACAATTCATCCAAAAGCTCTGTCTTTCCAATTGTAATACATAAAAGGCAAAGTTAGCACATGAAAGCACATTAATGATATGCTAGTTATACTTGGGGGGCATCATGGACTTAGGACATTTGGGCTCAGCAGACCTGATTTCAAATCCCCACTGTTAGTTGATAGCTGTGTAACTTCAGGCAACTTGTATCATCTCCAAGCCTCAGTTTCCTGGTCTACATTATATAAAAACTACATTATAAGGTATGATGAGAATCCAGAGGGACAACATATATGACAGGGGAAAGAACAATGCATGGAACCTATTAATTATCCTGTCTATGTCAAACACACAACTGCAGTACAGTTGGCAGGATTAACCTTCATCATACTACTGAAGGTAGCATGATAGACAATTGGTTATGCTTTATTGCTGGGTTCCTGTGAGACACCCACAGGAAGTGAATAAAGAACTCCTATCCGTGATTTAGAGTCTTGGTGGGCATAAAGGATATTAGTTGTTAATCTCTATTTTGACATGAGAACACTTTTTCTGGAAAAATCTCAGAACAGAGGGAAAATAGCCAGCATCTATTCTTTCCAGCTCATTTCCACTTGATTGGTATGGTTGGGTTTTGACACAAGCAAAATTTTCAAGAGCCTTTATCTTTATACATATGGAGTTCACAGCAAAATATGCAATAAATATTTTTAGTATGGATTCTGAAACATAGACTGGCAAATATAAATTCAAAGAACACATATAGGTATTGGGGTCAAAAATATATGGAAACACACCAAATGAAAAAGTAAGATCTATTTTTGTTTTGTTTCCTACTCACATTCAGGAAATTTATTATTCCAGATTATTGTCCTTCCCTCTGGGACACACTGACTAGAAGATTTGCCATTTAATCAGAACCTTAAACAATGAAGAGTAGCAAAATATCCCCAGAAGCAACCAATTCTCAGTTCCATGGGACTGATCACTTCTCTCACGCATTAATAGGACTTGCGTCTGAAAGCATGTCTAGCTTAAGGGAAAGTCTGAGGTTATAATATGCTGCCTGACTATACAATGAATTCAGAGTAAGTAAAAACAGAGAAAACAAACTCTGAGAATTGTCTTCCTTTTAAAAAAATTCTCACTCTCCTCTTTGCCATCCAAATGTTCAAATTCTCTTGACCATCTTGAAGAAAGAAAAACTCAGATCCTAAATAAAACTGTATCAAAGTCCTTCCTTCCCAAGTGCATTCTCAAGGACCCTTTCTCACTGCACCGGAGTCATCTGTTCATTTTCCATTATGAGTGCCTTAACCTAAACTTTGCTTTTTCAAATAATGGAAGGACAAGTCCCGTTCAGCTGGCCACATACAGTATATATACTTGGGGAAAGTGAAAAGGATTTGGTTAATGTCAGAGTTCTTCACTGTAAAGGGCAACGGAAACAAAAAGAGAAAAAGATGAGCTCTCTTGAGTGTGCAAGCTTGTGTGGGCCGGGGTCCATGCAGGACTTCTCACCTCACACTCACTGTTGATCACAAACAAAGGAAATCTCTTCCCACAAAGGAGATTAGGAGGAGGATCCATGCAGCTAGGGAGAAGGTGGGTTGGAGAGGCATCACTTGATTTTGTTAGGAAAAAGAGTTGAGCCTGGCACATAAGAGTCAGGAAAGGACTGAGTTTCCTTTTGCTGAAACAGAGCTTTAGGCAGCTTCACATCTGGGGGCTGCACAGATCCAGGTTCCCAAGAATGAACAGTGCACAAGGTTTGTTCCCACAAGAGTGTAGCCAGGCTCATAGCTGTGGGACACTGTTCAACTGGAACAAATTCCTCATCGCTTCTGCTATAATTGTTATGGTGACTACATGGAAGTGGTAGATATTCTGAGAAATGAACAGAACTGGAAGGCCTTTTCTGATATAAGAATTTTCTTGTCTATAACTTACAGCCAGTCTGGTCTAGATGGGGTGAAATGCCCAAAAGATCACAATAACATGCATTACTCTTTTTCAGACATGCTGAAAAATTACACTCATTTTCATTTTATTCAACTAAAGAGTCTTCCACACCTTTGCACCAGTAGTGTTGCTAAAGGAACCAAACTTCTATTATCTATTTTCAACACCTAAACCTAGTACTTTCTCTCTGCTCCGCAAACAAGGCATCAGAACTTTATGAAATGGGTTTGCGTGTTGTCAGTATTTTAGAAAAGTCAAGTACCTCACAATAAGAGGATGGGAGAAAGTAAGAATGGAGGACACAAACTCAATTTGACTACAGTCTTTCTTCCATAAAAGTTACATTTTTCTGTATAAAAATGTATAGTGTCTATTCTGAGTCAAATTCTGATCTCAGTCAGTTTCCCAAACTGACATGGCCAACAGAATTGAGAGTTCATTAAATTTAGCCTCAATTAAATAAAACCTAATGATACATATATACACATATATAAATATACAAATAGAAAACATTGATTTTGGAACTATCTGCTTTCAAAAATTACTTATTTTTAAATGACAAAATTGTGCATATTTATGGGATTGCATGAATACATCGTGTAACATTGAAATCAGGGTAAATACATCTATCATCTTACACACTTACCATATCTTGGTAGCTTTTTTTGAAATACACAGTACATTATTATCATGAATATTGTGCAACAGAATACCAAAACTTATTCCTCTTACCTGTAACTTAGTGCTGGTTGACCAACCTCTTCCCAGTTCTTTCTCCCTGTTACTCTCCCAACTTCTGGTAAACACTATTTTACTCCCAACTTGTGTAAGATAAACCTTTGTGGATCCCACATATAAGTGAGATTGTGCGATATTTGCCTTTCTGTGTCTGATTTATTTCACTTAACATGATGCTTTTGAGTTCTCACAAATAATGAGTTTTTATCTCCTTTATGGTTGACTGGTATTCTATTCGGGATTTATAGCACATTTGATGGACAGGTTGTTACCATTTCATGGCTCTTGTGAACAGAGCTGTACTAAACATGGAAGTGCAGATGTCTCTTCAACAGACTGATTTCATTTTCTTTGGATACATATAGAACCCGGAATGGGACTACTGAGTCATATGACAACAGTATCTTTGATTTTTTGAGGAATCGCCAACAGTGTATTCCCTTTTGTTTTTATTTGCATCAGCATTTTTCATATTTTGCCTTTCTTATAATAGCTGTTTAACTGGGATGGTTTAGATTTGCATTATTCTGGGAATTGTTATTGATTAACAGCATTGATATACTGTTAACCATTTCTGTGTCTTCTTTTGGGAAAGTGCCTTTGTGTCTATTGTCCACTTTTAAATTGGAGTATTTACTATTGTTGCTGTTTTGTTATTGAGTTGTTTCAGTTCCTGAAATACTCTGGATATTAACCTCTTATCAGAAGAATGGTTGATAGGGATTTTCCCCAACTACCATCTGCCTTTTTACTGTGTTGGTTGTTTCCTTTTCAATGCAGAAGCTTTTTAGTTTGCGTAATCTCATTTGTTTATTTTTGTTTGCATTTCCTGTACTTTTGGAGTCTTATATCCTTTCCATTCCACTGTCTTGAAGCATTTCACATGTTTTCTTCTGGTAGTTTCATGACTGTCTTTTTAAGACTTTAATACATTTTGAAAAATGTTAAAAGCATCTTGTGATTTTTCCCACATTAGTACAGATCTAGTACTGTCCCAGAATATAATAAAATTTCCTACCTCTTTAATATTTAGATATTGTTATAATTTTTTTTTATTTTATGGAAAAAAGGTAGGACAAAAGTTCCTAACAAAATAATAGGAGAATAACAAAGTTAATGTGTTGCATGTTGTTTTTTTTTTAAAGTAGTTGCTCAGGGTACAAGATACAGGCATAAAAATTACTCTACTCGATAAGAAACAATAGTATAACTGACTTGCATTTTTCCCTCTTCTTTCTGTCCTTTCCTCTTCACCTATCCTCATTCCTTTTTCCTTTTGAATAATTTCTTCCCCTTTCACAACATTGAAACAAAATTTTACACCACCACTTCTGGCAGAGAAAGAAGACATTTAGATGCAACATTTTCTAAGAATTTTGTCACTACTTGCATAAACCAAACTTCAATGCAGCCTACAGTCTATCCATGTTTTTGGAAGTCTACATCCTGATCTTAGAAAGGATCATAATCATGAAATAGCCAAGTAGGAAGATACACAGGGTTGGTTAATGAAAACTCGAACAGCTAGATGGGGACAACTATTTGGAAGAAAACTAGAGACAATAAGACAGACAGTGAAGATCTCCAGTGGACTTGCTTTGAAATCAGTGTTCCTTAAAGTTGTTTCCTTATGATCTGTTTTGTTCTATTTTGGTATGTTTAATCTTACCCTCTTTAAGATATGGGCAATTCTTTTGAAGATAGCAAGAGGCATTATAGTAGCCATTGTTGACCACCTTGTATTTTGTTTTTACATCATATACTATGTCTATTCTTGTTTTAACTGACTCCATTTTACTTTGTCACGTTTGGTTTTGTTTTCAAATAACATAATAAGAACTGTAGGAGTAATAAAACCTAAAATGTAATTGTTATTATAAAAGAGAGAGGAAAAGGAAGTGCTCTAAAGGATATAACCGCATGTATATTTAAGTGTTTAAAACAGATAAGCATATTACTAAGTTTTTGTTGGATCATTGAACAGAAATGTTTGCAGTCTCACTGTTCAAATGTCCACTTTGCATGCTTTAATTTTGTAACTTGAACAGCGACTTCTAAGATGTCAATATGTAATCTATCAACTAGTGATTTCTTACTAG